GTGGTTTTTGAGTTACGCTCACAGGGTTGTGCCGCTATCACCACAATTTCATTCCAGAACACGCCCATCACCCCGAAAGGGAATGCCATACCTTTTAAGCAGTCACTACCCCCTCCCCCATTTCTCTCTCCCTCCAGCTCCTGGCAACTAATCACTTAGTTTCTTTTTCTTTTCTTTTTTTTTTTTTTGGAGACAGAGTTTTACTCTGTCACCTAGGCTGGAGTGCAGTGCAGTGGTATGATCTCGGCTCACTGCAACATCTGCCTCCCAGGTTCAAGCGATTCTCCTGCCTCAGCCTCCTAAGTAGCTGGGATTATAGGCACACACCACCATGCCCGGCTAATTTTTGTATTTTTAGTAGAGACAGGGTTTTGACATGTTGGCCAGACTGGTCTCAAACTCCTGACTTCAAGTGATCCATCTGACTCAGCCTCCCAAAATGCTGGGATTACAGGTGTGAGCCACTGTGCCTGGCCACTAATTTAGTTTCTGTCTCCATTTTATTTCTGTCTCTATGGATTTGTCCATTTTGGACATTTAATGTAAATGGAATTATATAATATGATGCTTTTTTATTGGGGTTCTTTTGTATAGCATAATACTTTCAAGGTTCATCAATATCATAGCATATGTTAGCACTTCATTCATTTTTATAGCAGAATAGTATTGCATTGTATGGCTATACCACATTTTGTTTATCCATTCATCAGTTGATATGATTTAGATTGTTTCTACCTTGGCTGTTATTAATAATGTTGCTACGAACATTAGTGTAAAAGTTTTTATTTGAGCGTGTGTTTTCACTTTTCTTGGGAATATACCTAGGGATAAAATATCTGGGTCATATGGTAACTCTATACTTAACTTTTTGGGGATCTGCCAAACTATTTTCCAAAGTGGCTACACTATTTTACGTTTTCACCAGCAATGCATAAGAGTTTCACTTTTTCTGTGTCCTCAGCAACACTTGTTACTGTCTTTCTGATTATAACCATCCTAGTGGGTGTGAAGTAATAGATCATTATGGTTTTGATTTGTGTTTTTCTTTTCTTTTTTTTGAGACAGGGTCTTGCTTTGTCACTCAGGCTGGAGTGCAGTGGCAACAATCATGGCTCACCGCAGACTCAGACACCTGGGCTCCAGCAATCCTCCTGCCTCGGCCTCCCAAGTAACTGGGACTATAGGTGTGTGCCACCATGCCTGGCTAATCAAAACAATTTTTTTTTTTTTGTAAATTTGTTTCACTATGTTGCCTAAGCTGGTCTCAAACTCCTGAGCTCAAGAGATCCTCCTGACTTGGCCTCCCAAAGTGCTGGGATTACAGACATGAGCCACTGTACACAGCCTGCAGTTTTCTAATGATTAATAAAGTTGAGTAATTTTTATGTGCTTATTGGCAATTTATATATCTTTTTTGGAGAAATATCTATTTCTTCACATACTTTGTCCACTTTGTAACTGGGATATTTGTATTTTAATGTTGAGGCTTTAAAGTTCCTTAAATATTATGACCACTGTAGACCTGATTTGTAAAACATTATTTTCCTATTTCATGGTTTTTTAACTTTCTTGATAGTGTACTTTGAAGCACACACATTTTTAAGTTTGCTGAAGTCCAGTTTGTCTGTTTTTCTTTCCCAGGTGTGTTTCCTGATATGTCCTCACAGTACTGATTTTGGTTTTTTTTTTTTGAGATTGACTTTTGCTCTGTCACCCAGGCTAGAGGGCAATGGCACCACCTTGGCTCACTGCAACCTCCACTTCCTGGGTTCAAGCAATTCTCGTGCCTTGGCCTCCCAAGTAGCTGGGATTACAGGCATGCGCCACCACACCTGGCTAATTTTTGTATTTTTAGTAGAGACGGAGTTTCACCATGTTGGTCAGGCTGGTCTTGAACTCCTGACCTCAAGTGATCCACCCACCTTGGCCACCCAAAATGCTGAGATTACAGGAGTGAGCCACTGTGCCTGGCTGGGATTCGTTGTTTTAACCCTGCCCCAACTAGACTCTCTTCTGCTAACTGCCCCTTCCAAGTCTTCCAGGCAGCCTGGGCATCTGAAAAACTGGGATTCCTCATTACACAAGGTTCTTCAGTGTTCATGGTGATCACTACATCTTCCACATAAGACACATAAGACACTTTGGATTGACTTCAAGACTCACCTTGACATTGGCTTGAAACTTTCTCCAACTCTGGCTCCTGTGACAAAGACTCTATTGATTGTCCCTCCACCTCTGTCTGCTCCTCTCTGACTCCTCACTGGACTCTTCATCTTGCTCAGGGTTTGCCATACTCTCACTTTTCTCTGTCTTCTCTCTACTTTCCAGTGTTCACCTGTTTGGACTTCTTCAATGACCTCCTCTCTTTGGCTCCTTAGTGATGGAAAGCAAAACAGTGAGGCAGACCTGGGTTTCCAGCCTGCTTAGAAATATACAAGCCAGGAACCTTGGAAAAATGTATTTATTGCTCTGTTCCTTTGTTTTCTCATCTATCCGATAAGGATAAGAATAGTGTCTTCCAAAGCAGCTCTTGTGAGGCTAAAGGAGCTATCATAGATACTCTGTGCCCAGGATAGAGTAAGTCCTCAAAAATATTCACCAGTGGGGCCCTATTATCACTTCAAACTCACCCTGTTCAAGCCAAGCTCATAATTTCACTCCAAACTAGGGCCTTCTGTTTTTTGCCCCCTTCATTCTGCTAGTGTCCTCACTTTGGGGTCACCTCGGACCAGGCCTTGTTCACTAATGACAATATCATCCCACGTGTGTTCCACATCGCCAGAGCTTGTCCATGCCCAGGGTCTTGCTTTCTTTCAACCTGGAGCACCAGTCACCTGATCCTGCTAAGTTCTTTCAAAATACCCCCTTCTCACTCTTTTCTTTCCACCCTCAGGGCCCCTGTCCCAGCTGTGTGCTCACTGGACTCTGAGTGGTGGAACAGCCCCTGATACCACTATGGCCTGCCTGTCCCTGATCCTGGCCTTTAGATTTGTCTCTCACAAGAGCTAGGAGTCCAGACACCTTCATGTGGTTCCTACAGCTTTGGTTCTTCTTTCTGGCAAGTTGGGGCCACACACTAACCTGACAAAATGTGGGAGAGGGAGCGAACTGTAGAATTTGGAGGTGGGAGCTCTTGATTGTAGACTAGACTTGCCGCGGGCTTGCCAGGGGACCCAGCCAAGTCCTTTATGGTTTTGGACCTTGATTTCCCCATCCATGTAGTGAAGATGAAGAGTTTCACAGTCTTGAAGGCTCCAGCAACTCTGATGTTTGGCGATTTATCACTTGTGATCTCTTCTAATTACAAGGCTCATTCATGGGGCTTCTGAGATGTTCCTTTTTCCCTCTCTCCCTACCTTGACAGATATGTCTTCTAAGGTGAGCTTCTCCTTTGCCAAGTCCTACTCAGACCTCATTTCCTGTCTCTGACTCACTTGGCTTGGCTTCTTTCCCTGCCTCATAGCGTGGGGTGTGTGCATTGATGTACAAATGTATTCTGATTGTCGGCATAGCCTCTGCCTCTGTGTTCTCTTGGTCTTGCAGAAAGTCTCTGCCTCCTGTCTCCCCTATTCTATCTCAGCCCCCACACTGAGACTCCATAGGATCTTTCTAAAGCTTAAATCTGAGCTTGTCACTCTCCTACTGAAAAATCTTCAGTGGCTCTCCAAAGCCTCAGGATCAAGTTTATCTCCTTGGCCTCCTTTTCAAGCATCCCACACCCCTCTACAGTCTGGTCTGGTCTCAACCTAACTGCTCTACTCAGCTGCTCCCGAAGAGATGGAACCCAAATCCTTTGCTGATTCTGTCCTTGTGCATGGAGTGTGCCCTCCCCTCGCTTCTGTGTCCAGTGACATTCTATTCACCCACTGGGCCTCAGATCAACTGTTATTTTCCTGGAAAGCTTTCCTTGATCTCCCCATTCAAAGAAAAATGTTGTTACTTGTGCATTCCTGCAGAATGTTATTCACTTTACAGAGAAGGATCGTTTTCTTTCTTCTCTATCTCATGGTAAAGGCAGGGGCAGTGTCTGCAGAGGCAGCCAGGTGGTCAGCACATTGGTGCTGCTCAGTATACATTTGGTGACTAAGGGAATGGCTTCTTTATGGAATTCTGGCTTTTGTCTCCCTCCTCAGTTGGGCTACTTGAGAGGCCTCCTCTGATCTACCCACCATAGATAGATCTTCTTGAAGGGCAGCTGGGTTCATCTGCTGCCAAGCCTGATGTGTGTTCCACATTTAAACAAAGGAGCAGGAAGGAGCCAGGATTAGTGCAAGATCCTAGTCACTGAGCACACAGACACCTGCTGACACAGGGAGCTTTGGTGAAATTCCCAGCAAGTGCCTGCAAAAGCCAGTGGTCAATGGTGCCCGTAGGTGGGATTCCCACTGGCTGTGCTGTGGGAATCCTGAGCATCTGAATTCTTCCAATTCTAGAGAGCTGGAGCTGGTGCTTGAGATCAATGTGCTCCAGCCCATTCATTTTATAGATGCAAAAGCTGAAGCCCCAAGAAGGCTTCTCAAGACCACCCAGCAAATCAGGGCAGGGCTGGGAAAGAAACCCAGGGCCCTTACTCCCGGGCCTGGGCTCATCCATCTTCACCAGGCTGTGGGGTTTTATGAGTACAGTTGTAATTCCTGGATGCTTTCTTTCATGAATAGGGATTTTCCTAGAGCTGGATTAATATGACCTTGAAATTGGCACTTATCTTTGAAATTCCAAGAGCAAAATCACTGATGGAGGAAACGAGGGAAGGGAGAGAGAGAGAGATGGGAGAAAGAAAAAAAGGAGAGAGAGAAACAAAGAGAGAACAAGATAGGGACAAAGAAAGAAACACGGGACCAGAAAGAGATAGAGATGAAAAACGATCAAAGCCCAACAAAGAGATCAAAAGAGAGTCAGAAAGAGACCACCAGACAGTGTGAGAGAGAGATGGGAGCAGAGACAGAGGGAGACCACAGTACGAAGCCCGCTCTACAACTGCCTGTCTCCTTCCTCCGCAGGGCCCCTGGGAAATACTTCAAAGGCAAGTGCAGCTGCTGCCTGCTCTGGATTCTGTGAGGCCTCTAGGATGACATGGCTCGAAGCTTCTTCACTGGAGCCCAATGCTTCAGCTTTCCAGGTAGTGCATGGGTTACAGCAGCTATATGAGTATGAGGTGGGACTTTGAGAAAAGTGCTGGGGTCCATTGGTTTTCCTGAGGCAGCACAAAATGCTCAGAAGGGCATGAACATCTAGCCCTGGCCTGGGGTTTGGTGCTGCCTGGCTGGCAGTCTTGAGAAGGTTTTTACTCCAGAGCTTCAGTTAGCTGGTCCCTAAAGTTCTCCTAGCTTTAAAATTCCTGACTGATTGAGCCGATAGGACTTAAAGATAAAAGGGTCCATCCCTTCTTGGATGCTCACCCCTAACTACTACTTTGGGATCATGTGAGCCATCAAGGATGTAGTCAGAGAGGAATTGTCCACCCAAGGAGACTAACTTCACCTATTGATTTCTCCAGCTAGAAATCTTCCTGGTAGAAATGTGAAATCATGGACCATCAGAGCTGGAGGGGCACCAGGCACGTCTTTCTTGTGTTCCTCATTGCCCAGAGAGATAGACTCAGATAGCTGTCATCAGGACGGGAGCTAGAACGTAGAACTTACATCTGCTGGCCCAGTCACAGACCCCAGGGCACCAGGCTGCATGCTGAGTGGCAGGGAGTGAAGTGGACAGATTTCTTAGGCAGCAAGAATAGCCAAGTCCCCAGAAACATCCCCAGAATTTGGGGTGGGATGGTACTACTTCTCCCTTCTATTTCCCTACTTAGGCTGCTTCAGAGAGCCACTTGGACTGTCCCATCTTATTGCCCAGGAGCTAGCTCAGAGGCAGCTGGCTGCTCACTACCCCTTTAATCACCAGGAACTCAAGACTTTCAGCTCCTCTTTCTCAAAGGCTGGCCAGTCCTGTGGGCACAATCTTAGAGGAGGCTGCTCCATGACTGTGCTTTTGGGAGTGCTGGGCAGTGGCTGTAGAAGGCAGCAGATGGGGATATGTCAAAAAGAAGGAAAGAGTGTTCAAAAGATGAAGTTCAGACATACAAATCCATCTACCTTACCCACCATGAGTCACCAAGTGGTGGAGTAGACTTTTTTTCATAGATATTCTGAGATTGTATTTTTCTTTGTTTTTTTTTTTTGTTTTTGTTTTTTTTGAGATGGAGTCTCGCTTTGTCACCTAGGCTGGAGTGCAGTGGCGGCGCAATCTTGGCTCACTGCAACCTCCACCTCCCAGGTTCAAATGATTCTCCTGCCTCAGTCTCCCAAGTAACTGAAACTACAGGTGCCTGCCACCACATCCGGCTAATTTTTTTTATTTTTAGTAGAGTTGGGGTTTCACCATGTTAGCCAGGCTGGTCTCCATCTCTTGACCTTGTGATCTGCCTGCCTCGGCCTTCCAAAGTGCTGGTGTTATAGACATGAGCCACTGCACCCAGCCCTTGTTTCTTTACTTATTCATTCAGACACATATTTATTCACTCACGTAACCAGCCAACCAGTCATTCGTGCTATGCATGTTCAGTTATAGTGATGGTGGAGGTGGAGGGGTGCATCGGTGGTGGCGATGGTTGTGGTAGGTAGGTTATGTTGGTGCTGCCGGTAGGGGTGCTTTTGTCGGTGGTGGGTGGTACTGATGGGTGTTGGTGATGTTGTATGTAGTGGTGGAATGGGTGATGGTACTGATGGTGGGCAGTGGTGGTAGTAGGTGAGTGTTTTTGCTGTTGGGTGGTATGATGGTAGTGATCGTGGTGTTGTTGATGGGTGTATCAGTGGCAGAGCTGATGTAGATAGTGGTGGTGGTGGTAAGTGTTATCTGTGGGAATGGTGATTGGAACAAGAATAGTGGTGATAGGTGTTTTGGGAGTAAATATGTTGCTGTTGATGGGAGCATGGTGATGGTGATCAGGGTATCATTGCTTATGATGATGGCAGTTTTTGCGAGTAGTGGTGGTGTCGATGGGTAATTGTGGTTATGGTGGTATTGACGGTATTGTTGATGGAAGTTGTATTAGCTTTCTATTGCTGCTTTAACAAGTTATCACGAATTTCGTGGCTTAAAATGACAGATATTTATTATCCTATAGTTTTGTAGAGCAGAAGTCCAACATAGGGTTCACTTGGCTAAAATCAAGGTGTTAGCAGGCTTAATTTCTCTCTGGGAGCTCTAAGGAAGAGTTGATTCCTTTCATCTTCCAGCTTTTAGAGGTCACACCCATTCTTTGGCTCATGGCCTCCTTCCAGCAATGTTGCAAAGCCAGTGATGTCATATCTGTCTGACCCTTCCCCCATTGTCCATCTCTCTCTTTGACCACAGACAGGGAAGGTTTTCTGCTTTCATTGACTTGTGGTTAAATTGTACCCACTCAGGAAACCCAGGATAATCTTCCCATCTCAGGTCTGTCCCTTTAATCACATCTATAAAGTCCCTTTTGCCATGTAAGTTAACAGATTTACAGATTCTGGGGATTAGAGTGTGGATATCTTTAAGGGATTAATTTTCTGGCCCATCATAGGGGGAATGATGGTGGTGACCATGGTGGTTGTGGCACTGGTGATGTTGAGTGTAGTGATGGTAGAGGGGTAATGGTTGTGGTAATGGGGCAGGGCGGGTGGTAATGATGTTGGTGGGTGGTAATAGTTGTACTGTTTTTGAAAGGGTTATGGGAGTGTGTTATGGGAGTGTGGGCAATGGAGACAGATCCCCCACTTTGGTCCTCAGCACACTCTCTGGTCAGGAAGGAGCTGTGATCTGGACAGAACACCTGTATCTGCAGATGGATGGTGCTCAGGGACATGAGAGAGGAAAAATGAAAAGCTTTGGGGGCATGGAAGAGGTAGGTGTCCTTGCTGGTGGGGGCTTAGGAAGCTTTCTGGACCTTGAAATATAGCTAGCCATTAAAAAACTCCGTAACATTAATAGCTTTGTCTGGGTGTCATGGCTTACGCCTGTAACCCCAGCACCTTGGGAGGCTGAGGCAGGTAGATCACCTGAGGTCAGGCGTTCAAGACCACTCTGGCCAACATGGCGAAACTCCGTCTCTACTGAAAATACAAAAATTAGCCCAGCATGTTGGTGTGTGCCTGTAATCTCAATTACTTGGGAGGCTAAGGCAGGAGAATTGCTTGAACTTGGGAGGCAGAGGTTGCAGTGAGCCGAGATCACGCCATTGCACTCCAGACTGGGTAATAGAGCAAGACTCTGTCTCAAAAAAAAATTAATATCCTTATTGCTTTGTATTTGTAATACCTGCTAATTAAATACAGTCAAGCAACACAGAAAAGCACAAAAAAAATTTTTTTAAGTAACCAAAATCTTACTTCCCATAATAAGGTTGGGGAGGGAGGTCATTTCCATACTCAGAGGTGGAGGTTGGGAGGTTCCTGACTCAGAAGGACATTCTTTTCCAGAGGGAGGGAGCAGAGTGAGCAGTGCCCCAGAGGAGGGATGGTTCCATGTCCTGGGAGACAGGGGAGTGGCACGTGTTGAGTGCAAGTGGGCACAGAGCTAGCAGTGGGGTAGAGCAGAACAGGCTCTCCCTTGCCTGCCTTTTGTCCTGTTATCTGCCTGGGTGAGCAGATAAGCTTCAAGGATCATTGCATTCTGTGCATCACTCCAGGTGTTTGTTGGGGGGCGGTGCATTGAAATGTGTCATGCAGGCCACTGCGGAATTGCAATGAACAAGAAGGATCTAGAAAGGGACAATATCATGTACCTTTTCTCTTCGCTCTCTAGCACCATCCCTCCCTTCGTCTGCCCTTGAGCAGAGCCTCCCAGAATCCCAGGCATTTCTGCCTAGTCGTGGATCTGTGTGAGGCTAAAGAAACATCCCTGACAATGACCTTGGGGGAAGAGACCTTTTTGAGTCCTACTGATGCTAAGGGGATACCTGGAAGGTATCCATGCAAAAGGGCCAAGAAAGGTCAGAGTTTTAACCAGTCCTGTAAGATGATCAAGCCTATGTCTTTTCAGTCTTTCCCTCCTTGTTTATTCTTTAAGTTGTGACATCCTTTTGTTAAGCAACATTTTCAGTGAAGGTCCAATATGGCCAGCAACGAATAGGAGACTGCTTTGAGTAAAGTCAAGGAAGAAGTCTCTGCCTAGCTGAGCGCCTAACACCAGCTGGTCAACTCACCCAGGCCTTGGATTGGGGTGGGAAATGGGGGGAACATGCTTGTCTTTCAGGGCTGTTAGGGATGATATAATATATGTAAAGCTTGGGACTCTGTAATGCGGGGAGACATCAAAGGCTTCCTAGTGGCTTAGGCTCACTCCAGGCTCTGGCAACGGGGGTTAGGAGCCTGGAACATGGCTCTGGAGGGTTACCAGACAGGCAGATTATCATTCCAACAGTTGGCCTCCAGGCACCTCCTGCCCCAATTCAACACACACTTCCACTCTACGTACATCCCACTGCCAACGTAGGTGGCCTCAGTGTCCCCTGGACTTATCACTCCACTTCAGCCCCACCGTCCAGGATCACCTTTGATAACAATCGCAGCAGCTTATGTTAATGGAGCACTTGTCTCCTTCCAGGCCCTATTCTAAGTTCTCCATACACGTCATCTTGTTTGATGCTCCCAGTAGCTAAAGCCTTGCTCTGTCGCCCAGGCTGGAGTGAAGTGGCCAAATCTTGGCTTACTGCAACCTCCACCTCTGAGGTTCAAGCGATTCTCATTCCTCAGCCTTTCCTGTAGCTGGAATTATAGGCATGCATCACCATGCCCAGTTAATTTTTTGTATTTTAGTGGAGATGGGGTTTTGCCATGTTGCCAACCTGGTCTTGAGCTTCTGAGTTCAGGTGATCTGCCCTCATCAGCCTCCCAAAATGCTAGGATTCCAGGTGTGAGCTACCATACCCAACCAGAGCACTATTCTACTCATCCTGCACATGAGGTAGGACTCACGATTTGCCCAAACTCATGCAGGTCAGGAGTAGCAGAGCTGGGATTTGGCGCAAGTACCATTGTGCCTGAACCAAAATCAAGTGGGGCATCCCCATCTCTGAAACCTCAGCTGCCACAGCTCACTCCTTGGCAACAGGATCCCTCTGCACCTTATAGAGATCTTTAGATCCTTTTTGTA